AAGGGAACACGATAGATGGCGCCGAGACCATAGCCGCACGCCAAAGAGTCATCAAAAATCAACCTACTGGTCGGGTCACCAAAAATCAATCCTGAAGCCACAAGAAGCTGTGAAACGAATACGCACCCGTTCTCAGCAAACTTGTTCCAAATGAACTGTTTTTTTATATGAATGACAGTTTAACCATATCCTCACTGTTTTTGGCAATAAACGACCGTTCTAGACCGAACACCGGGTTATGAAATTATAACAATAGGAAGCACTTGGCGTGGCAAACCACATAAGGCGTGGTATTAAATCGGACAACAGAAAATCTGTCTACTACCAAAGTTGAGTGGCGGTGGTGGGACTAGAATCTTGAACCATAAGTTTCAAAGCGCTAGCAAGATAACTTACCTTTCCATGGTCAAGTTCAGGGTACTTCAGACACTCTTCCAGGANCCCGATTAGCCATCAATCTGCGTGAAAAGCTGTTTCTGAAGCTGTTTTATAATTGGTATGCCAAGAAAATAGAAAGAATAAAACTTTAGGCCTACCTGATACGGCCATTCGTGTTGTTGCTGCATACGAAAATGTTCCTCGAAAAATGCGTCATCAGGACTGAAACCTTATTTTGATTGGGCGTTTTTGTTGAAAGTCCAGCAAATTCCTTGTTTTGACCCACTAATCGAACGTAAAATGTGATAAATTAAAAAGTAATGCTTTTATTCTCTTCAAGCAGAGATGAAGATGGTGGCGAGCACATTTTGATATATCGATTTTGGAAAAATATAGGATAGAACATCCGTATGCATATCAAGCATCCTGTGTTGGTTCAGACGTGTTCTCTTCCTGTTCCTCCAGATAGAACTCTGGAGGCTGGAGAATGTCTGGTGCTCATGCTAACACGTCGAAATCTACTGTTGTACTTACTCGTTTGGGACAGCCCTCACGATGGCTCGAATCCGTTGCGATTTACGCCTCTTTCTACAAATCGTAAAATTTCGGATTATAAAACTCACGACAGCCTTTTGTCTGTCTCTTTCACGCGAAATGTTGTCTTCGTGAACGGATGTTTACTTCCTTCCACCAGTGCATGTCGTAAACGGAATAAGTATCTAACAATGTAGTAATAGTGTATGCACGCACAGACTATTCTGAAAATTCTGACATCATACAACTTGGTGTTCATCGAAGGTGGTCCGACTTGCGTCACCGTTCTCTCCAATTTCATTGATGATGCTCTTCACACCTTGTTCACACCTTCAAACCATGAAGTGGAAACAGTTGCAATCATGTTTCCCATCAAACATCCGCTAGAACTAACATCTGAAGAGAAGAGAAATTAGACATATTACAATGAAAGTACAATAATAGAACAGTCATATCACATTTATTCCCCCGGAATGTGGATGATATGTTGAAAAGCCTTTCTTCAACATACGAAAGTAACAGCTGTTAACAGGCAACATCTTTAATTACTAAACTTTGAGTAATGATGACGATCAGAGTTTCACAAATAAGTTACTACATTATGGACGTCCGGTTGTACCCCAGTGCCTCGTTTTCAGAAGATTTATCCCTGTAAATGGTCCCATCAATCACAGATTTGGTAGTCCTCGGTGGCAAACGTGAAATTCTTAGGCTCTCGGTGTCATCAGCTAACGCTATAGGTGTATTTAGATTTGCTTCCACTGCTCGCTCACACATGCGGGCAGTTGATTGATCTATAAATTGTATAAACAACTCGTGTAGAAAGGTAGATGGTGTATCTATTGTGCATTGTTGACGAAGATTCTTAGGTAAACTGTGCAAGAAAGAATGTTCAAAACGGGCTCCTGTCCACTGCACAATTTTCTGTCTTGTTGCACAATATTTCGCGCTATCCTATTGAAAAATTTCCATTATTAATTGAAACAGCTGGCTTCAGCTTTGACTTTGGTTGGTGCAGTCCCGTCTTCCAGGCTGGGGCCCAAGGGATGAGAATTGTCGTTGCTTAGAGACGCTAAGAAATATGGCCCAGAATAGAAGTCAGTGAAGGGAATTCCGTACGGTTTGCCTGTTGAAGTCCTGTGCCTCATACAAATACAATAAACTAACACAAAATTTCAAAAAGTATACGGTGCAACAAAAAATTCCTATCCCATTTATTCGTAATTTTTATCCTAACAGTTCCGTCTTTATGTAAAACATCATTTTCACTTTATCCATTTCACCAACACAAGAAGACATATGTGAGCGGAATTGATATTGAACATCAATTTCGCGTGCTCTCACTCAGCTGTAAACGCACAGTTATATGATTATGTAAAATGAAGAAAAATAATAGTTGAAATGACTCAACTGAACAAGGTGGTGAACAAGTGAGTTGCGTGATTTGTGTTTGGTTAGGGGTTGAGGTCAAGTTAGATGACAAAATTTGACATGGGGGTGAACTGGTTGGAAAGATTTGGTGATGGTGGTGGAGGGGGGGGGGTATCAAGTGTGACATCGTCACTACCACGGCAAAAATAGTTGCGTCACAATAATAATTTTTGAACACAATTGCGGCTTCAAGCGATGAATATCGCTTCTGAAAATCGCAAATTCCGTGAACTTCAAGGCCTATCAATGACTCGAAACGCTTTGGTGACCAGAATCTAACAAATGACAAACAATCGCACTAGATAGTATTTTCCCTCCACGAAGACCAAGGTGTTTCGGAATATGTTCACAGATTCTGATTGATAGATGATGTGCTGTCTTTCCGATTTACCACTGACCGGTACATTGAAATGAACAGATGCTTCTGAAGGTAACAGTAACGTTTTCTTGATCCAGATTAGTGCGTGCGAGACAACAAAACGTCCCGTAAGCAATCATTAGCCTTGCGGCATTGTACGTCCTTTAAACGGCGTGTATTAAACCTCGAGATATTTTTGTTGTTACATCATCTCCTTTAAAAGACAGTTCTACATAGACATCTTTCTTCTTAACCAATGGGAGAATAGGCTTGGTGTTGATCGGCTTGCTGTATTTGTGAATGAACGTGATGGGATAACCATTGTCTAGCAAAGCATGGGTCAATCCGTGTAGTTCATCTGGCAGGACTTACGGACTATATAGTCAGTGGACACTGTGAAACAGAGTGCGTAGCAGACCATGCTTGTATCCCACAGGACAAAAACTCCTGAAGAATAAATACTGTCCTGTCCAAGTAGGCTTTCGTTATCTGTAGCCTCCCATCTGACATTCGATTGAGTAGTAAATCAAGAAATGGAAGTTTGGATTTGGATTCACGTTCACATGCTGATATCTTCCTGTCAGCAATAAAAACA